TTGGACATACTTGAAAAAATGGTGCATAGGCGCTTGGACAAGGAACAGGAAGACATACTGCAAGGAAGAAGAGGAAACCAAGAGATACAGACTGGCACTATCGTTGAGATGCATCGTCAAATAAACATCACTGATTCTACAAAACAGGATCTGGACAAGTGTCTGACTGACTCCATTGGTGATTTCTTCAAGGGAGACTTTCTTGGTGGGTTTCAGCAGTTAGTTAAGGTTGGGGCTGACACTGTTCTAGGTAATGCGTCAGTTGGAGAGTACGAGACATCAGATATGTTTATCATTTGGAATTCAAATGCACTCATACGTTGCGATTCTTACTATTATCGCTGGAATTTTACATCTTCAGGTGTCATCAATGATTCCGATGGTTGTGCTGGTGTACTTCTTGTGAAACGTATCATTGATGCGACTAAAGTTGATCCGCAAGTGTTGACTTGGGCTATAACAAATCAAGTCATGAGAGATCTAGATCAAGATGACCATGACATGCATGAGGGATACTTACCCACTAGGCCCACTGTTGATGGTCCTAGGCCTGATGACATTGAGAAGCGAGCTGCCGAGGTTATTGACTCTGCTATGAAAGTTCTTGAGAAAGTTGTTGAGTTTCAAGCTAAAGTAAAATTCATGGAAGATGGCCATATTGATAAGTCTGGTGACTCTTAGCTGCATGGTTTTTGAATTGATATCGTTTTCTATAGTTACATTTTAATAGAGTTTAGAACTTTTTTTATTATTGTGTTATTTCTTAAAACATAAATAGTGATTGGATTATAGTAATAATTATAATATCTGATTTTTTGAGAGAAAATAAAGATACAATCTACAGTATAAAGGGCATAAATATAGAATCAGAAGGTCCAAGTGTGTACATGCTTATTTCATCACTTAGATCTAAATGCATACTTTTGATCATGATAAATCACAATTAATATACAGACACACTATAATACAGCATTAGTAATAATAATAATCAATCAATCAATTCATTATTGTAGCTATACATAATATTTGAGTGAGAAAGAGTACATTCAAACAGGTTCTAAAACGTTTGGAATTGAGATATTGAACACTTTAGCCTCTGCAAGTATGACAACAATTAAGAATGTCACGTAAAACACAAAGAGACAAATCCCATATACTCTTTTCATTTTGAACCGAAGGATGGAACTTATTACCAGTGACGATGAAAGACTCAGTAATAAAAAGAGGGCGGCAAACATTTGAACTTGAGTAAAGTACAGCTATAAGGAGAAGACATAGAAAGAGTGAAGTAGAATTAATTTTACAATTTTTTAGCTCCTCTCTAACTTTTCCTTCCTCCCTATCTCTCTGTTCCTCAAACTAAAACTGTGCTTTCTCACTCTCTCCTTCTCTTTCTCTCTCTCCCTCCTTTTCTCTCTTCTCTTTCTCTCACTCCAAATGTCAATCCTTCAGATCCAATTGCTTTAACAGTAGACGCTATACCAATTCCTAATAACATATCTAGTGGGAGGAGCTTAGTCAAGAAAACAACGCCCACGCTAATTTTCACACTAATTATCAACATTATAGTATGAAAGACCATACCCACCCATTACAATTAATTAACTATATAAAAGGATACTCAGTAGTGGTCCTCCGAAACAAGCGCCAATCGCCATACGAGGGAATCCTTGTCTTGCCATGGTGACGTTAGCCACAGCATCTGATGAAATTAAAAAGTTTATTATATTGGCGAAATTATTAAAATTCAAACTTAAAAAAATAATTAATCAATAACTAATAATAATGGTGGCGTGCATTTATTTATCTCTTTGTTGGCATTACCTCCAATGCTGTTACCCCAAGCTAATAGTGTAATTCCTAATATCCCATCAGATAAATCAATCACTATACCAAATACCTAAACAAAATAATACATTGGTTATCTAGGATACTAATACGGTACTTGTAATAGATTGACTATTTCATTGGCAATGGTGTATATCCATACAACAGCAACCAGGAACCCAACCCAAGCAAACACCTGTAGATAGAGATGGAGAGAGATTGCATGAGTAAAGATAAATGTACAGTATATAGCCCATGGTTTTTTCAAAAAATGGCTCCGAAATGACCCCCAAGTTTTATTACATTTTTTGATACATATTGATGCCCTTATGCTATGTAGAAAATTTGAGCTAATTCCGACTTCAATTTTTCGAGTTATGACCATTTTTAAAAAACTCCAAATTTCAGAAAAATGTCCTGTACTATAATAGCCCATGTTTTTTTCCAAAAAATGGCTCCGAAATCACCTCCAATTTTTATTACATTTTCTGATACACATTGATGTACTTATGCTACGTAGAAAGTTTGAGTTGATTCCGACTTCAATTTTTCGAGTTATGACCATTTTTTTTAAAAACTCCAAATTTCAGAAAAATGCCCTGTACTATAGCCCATGGTTTTTTCCAAAAAATGGCTCCGAAATCACCCCCAATTTTTATTACATTTTTTGATACATATTGATGTACTTATGCTACGTAGAAAGTTTGAGCCAATTCCAACTTCAATTTTTTGAGTTATGACCATTTTTTAAAAACTCCAAATTTTGGAAAAATACCCTGTACTATAGCCCATGGTTTTTTTCAAAAAATGGCTCCAAAATTACCCCCAATTTTTATTACATTTTCTGATACACATTGATGTACTTATGCTACATAGAAAGTTTGAGATGATTCCGACTAAAAGTTTTTGGGTTATATGGACTATAGCTCATGCTTTTCCCAAAAATTGTCCCTTACATTCTAAATCACAATTACACCATATTATGTTTCTTACACAATGATATCTTGGAGGCTTATCATTCGATGAAGTGAATGCAACAAGAATTGCTAGACAGACTCCAAAGACAAAAGCTATGACAATAGCAGGGAATACTCCACCAATCATCTTAAAACCCACTGGAGGAGAGAAATAAAAAATAAATATAAAATGAAACAAGAGAGAGAGAGAGAGAAGAGTGGGAAAAAGGAGAGAGAAAAAGAGACAGAATAAAGACCAAAAAATTAGAAGCAGGAAGAAAAAAAGTATTACATTTTGTTGTTAGACTAATAAACACTGGTGCTGTGACACACTGTATGATGGTCAGCCATCTATTCCAGTTGTCATTATCTTCATCTTTATCAATGACAGGTACTGTGATGTTTAATAATAGTCCAGCAGGTACCTGGAATAATGTGAAGAGAGAGTAATAGCCATTCATGTTTTTACAAAAAGTACATCATGTACATGTACTTAGTGATTTAAAATTAAGATTGCACTAAATTTGCAGTTACTTTTAAGGTCTCATATATTTTTCCGGCTTTCCCAAGGTCTCTGAAAGACTCTCCAAAAGGCCAGAGAGCTAACAATAGCTTTATAAAAGGATGTCGTGCCTTTGGCGTCTCAAAAACGGTTTCCCTTTGGTCCCAAGAAGACATCAAAGGAGACTCTTCATCATCACCTTCACCCTCGGTCTCTCGATTATTGTCAGAAGCCCCTCCTCCTGCCCCACCCCCTCCATCACTTTTATGCGAAGCACTCAAATCTAGACATAAAATAAAAACAGAGTAAAATTTTCAAAATGGCCACCCCATACCCAAATGAGATCCCCTTGATCTAGAAGAGCTTCTTGATCGTCGCTCCAGCAGTGGGCTCGGTCTAGGCGAGTGATGCGCAGGATGCAAGTGATGCTGATGAAAGACCTCCTTTCTATAAGCATGGTGCCAGATCTTGGACAGATTTGGGTTAGCACCCACAGCCACTAAACCGACATCCTCCGTTATGTCCAGTGCGCCTGATATCGTCCTGCGTAGTCTCCGGGGAGAAACAGAGCGAGGGGTGGGGGGTCTGGCCGGGAGAGGGGAGGGCAGTCTGTCTCTTGATTCTTCTTCTTCTTCTTCATCTGATACACCGTACACGTGTTGGGAGGCTATGATGGCACACGAGTGAGTGAGCTCACTTTCATGCTGAGAGAAGAGGAGAAGGACAATGACATCAGTGAGAGAGAGAGAGAGAGAGAGAGAGAGGGGAGAAGGGAGGGAGAGAGAGAGAGTGAATTATAAAACTGACATAAATGTATTACAAAATCGTATTATGCGTATTATGTAAATTGCATTATTACATTTGTAATTGTATAAATCACATTTGCAGAATACACATAGACATTGTAATGTATTGTAAAGCTGGCAATACTGTATTGGCGAGAGTTATATTTGGCAATTTGTTATAAATTTTTCATTTGTCAGGCTTTACATTGTCAATTTAGCAGCCATGTTTCATTGAGCATGTGAATAATGACACAAAATGGCAAAAAATTTTATGTTGGCAGTTTCTATTGTTATTCCACCAATATTGATTCCATGCCAAATATTTTCAGCTACATACATATACAGTATTTATTATTATTATTATTATTATCATTATTATTATTATTTACTTGTTCAGTGTTTACTAGTTGATGGTGTCCACTTGTTTCATGATCAGGAGACCCTTCTACAATAATCTTAACATTTGACGAAGGAGGAGGAGGGGGAGGAGGAGGTGAAGGAGATGGAGGGAGGTGCCCATTCCTTATAATAACAGGAGTCTCCTCATCTACTGGTGCAGCTGTGGAGCGACTATTGTATAACTCTTGTCCCTCGGGTTTAGGCTGAGGCTCTGGAGAGAGAGAGAGGGGGGGGAAAGAGAGAGAGAGGGGGGGGGGAGAGAGGTAGGAGAGAGAGAGGGGAGAGAGAGAGAAAGAAAATGAAAGAGGAAGGAGAGTGAAGCATGTCTGCTTACTTGGTATGTCGCCTGTTCCACTCAAGCCTTTCTTCTTCCATTTTTGATACACTAATCGACCAAATATTACAACTAAAACATACGTGACATAGAGACATATGAATCCTAAGGAAAAAGCAGAAAGGAATTAAGAAAAAAGAAGAATGGATAGTAGAGAATCTAAAACTAAATGCTACATTTTCAATTTCTCTAATAATACTGTATCAGTTAAATTCAAAACTGAAATAAGTGAAATTCCAAACTTCAAGTCAACAGCACCTGATAAAACGACACTCAGAATTCCCATACCTAGTGAAATTCCAATGTTCATGCTGTTGTTCCAGAGTATGAAGAATGTCCAGTAAACTGCTCCTAAGTAGAAGACCAGGTCTCTCATATATGGCCGTCTTGTCAGTGTGAAAGGCTTTGAAATGACGACAGCACCAACTACAACAGTAGTGACAAACATACCAGCACCTGGGGAGAGAAATAGGAGAGAGAGAGGGAGAGAGAGAGAGAGAGAGAGAGAGAGAAAGAGAGAAAGGGAAAGGGAGAGAGAGAGGAGGTAGAAGCGACATACATGTACATGTATGAGAGAGAAGAAGGGAAGGAAGTAGGAGAGAGAATCAAAAAGAGAGTGGGAGAAAGTTGTTTTTAGATAGTTGTGGTACAGGTACATGTACATAAACTAATTTTAAACAAACCAGGTTACTCTTGCTTATCATTATTTAGAATGTACATGTAGGACAAACAACAACAAAACACTATATGAAACACAAACAAGATAAAAATAAAAATAAACAATAATAAATTAGAGCTGGTCTTTCATACCAAATAAAGCACCAAAAGCAAGGCTGGCCCTCTTAGCATCAGGTTGGTTGATTGCAGCAAGAGCACTGAATATATCAGGGGCACCATTACCAAAGGCAAGGAGAGTGACACCGTAAGAAAGAAGAAAAGAGAAAAGGAGAGAGAGAGAGAGAAGGAATGAAGAAGAGTTAAGGAAATCTAAGAGTCAAATTTAAATGAAATTATAATCATTGTGAGACTTGTTATATCAATGGAATAATGGTAAAGGAGGATATAGCTACATTCTGGCTTAAGTGAAGAACTTGTGATATGACAGTAAGAGCTGGACAAAAACTAGAGGGAGGGAGGGAGGGAGGGAGGGAGGGAGGGAGGGAGGGAGGGAGGGAGGGAGAGAGGGAGAGAGAGAGAGAGAGAGAGAGAGAGAGAGAGAGAGAGAGAGAGAGGGAGGGAGGAGATATGTTAAAATGCTGACAGTGGTTACAATAACTCACTATTCTTCAGCCGTTGTGCCCAAGAATATGAACAGGAACAATAACCAAAAAAACTGCAAGAATAACATAATAACTAGCTATACCACACCTCAGCAAAAACAGACAATGCATCACAAGTGCACATGAATAATAGATAATTTAATGAAGAGCATAATTGTGAGAGTCACAAAAATGTACTGCTATTATAACTTTCAAAGTTACAGGTGTCTATGGGACACGACTCTTTTAAGCATGATAGGAACAATTACTAGAGACAGATGGACAATGGGAACAACAACCCTGCAAACACTATGCACCTTTTCACATTCACAGGAGATAAACATTATATGGACTGATAATGTAACATGCTGTAACTACATTTGTACAAGACTATCAAACTTTATGACCATGCAAGGAAAGTGAGTCTATGATAATAATAATATTTATTTATTCATTGTGCTGGAGCTAGAACAACATTCATATATTTCCTTTCTATTTTCCTTCTCTTCTTTCCTAATCTCTCTCTTTTTCTCTTACCAGTATAATCATTGTTAGTGGTAGCAGTTTCAATGGCATTATGCAGTAAACGAACTCAAAGTAGGTGAAAATTCCAGCGTCGCTTTTGCAGGCTGGAACCGTCTGTACAAACTTACACAGGACTGTCTGGTTCTTCTTCTGGTCTTCGCTTAACTTGTGGATGGAGGCACACTGCATTGATTGATAATAAATAATGTTTGTGATTTTAAAAGTAAACGAAAATAGCAATGAGCAGGTATGTGTACAGGTACAGGGTTAAGATTCTTTAAATTTCATAATACCAATTAAAGAGAAGGCTTAGATGTACATGAGTATAATATGAATGTAATGGCTGACTTAGCCTAGCCTGCATACAAAGCAAAAGTATTAGAAAATTGAGCTACAAATTAATAAATACTTTCTACAGTAAAACATAATTTTCCCTCCCTCCCTCTCCTTGCCTCTCGTATCTCATTTGCTGTCCCTAGTGAGAAGTTGATAGAGAGAAGGTGCCTTTGACTGAAAGAGAGAGAAGATGAGGAGGAAGACTCGCTCGTCTCCTCAAGCCACCAGAACTGATAGGCAGTCCTGCTGGTGTGAGCAACCATCCATAGAAAGACCAGTGACACCCCGAGGAGACCAAAGGCTCTCCTAAGCTTCCTGACCTCCAATATCCCACACTGATACTCGTAGTACATTTTACTGTACTACTACTACTACTAAAATGCTGCTCTCTTGACTCCAATTGAATCAGAAACTTAACATTTTTCCAAGCAGCAATTAGGCGTGGTTAAAAAACTGGGAGGGGCTAATATGGGCGGATCTCTCGGTTCTAACCACGCCTAATTTTGCTATGAGCTCGCAAATTGATAATTCTGTGTCTTATTTTCTTTTAGGTAATATTCCCCGTGGATTCCGCTCGTACAACTTAAGAGCTTATTTCTCTCATTTGGTGGAAAAAGAGGCGTTCGTTTGCTTTCATTTCAGACACAGGCCAGAGTTTCTGAATAATTCTGGAGGACCAGCCACGCCCTCTGGCAACGAAAAGACCACACCTACAGCCAGCAAACATAAAGATGTAAACACTGAACAGAAAACGATGTCGAGAACAGAAAACGAAACTGTTGACGACACTAGTTTTATCGATTATACAAAAACAACTACAAGAAGCAGCGAAACTGCACAAAACTTTAATGCAGATGCGGCAGTACAAGCTAATACTCATTGCTGTCCATTATCAGTAAAGAGTGAGCATGTGAAGGAGCTATTGAGTTATAATGGTAAACACTGGACTGATGGTAATGATGATATTATGAGGGAGAGGGTGAGGATACAAGCTCTCAAGTTACGGAGTGAAGAGTCGACTAGTGAAGGTCACGAATTGTAATAATGTAGATAATGAATAACTGGGCGATTGATTTTAGGGCCAATTTTTGGATTGCTTATTAAAAATTAAAGATTGTACTGCAAAAATTAAAATTAATTATTAAAAGTCATTTTACGGCACAGGGTCATGAGTCAAATTTCATCAAAAATTAAAAAGAGAGAATTTTTCATTTAAAATTTTTTTTCAGATGCATATACATGTACTTATATGGTGTAAAAAGTTTGAGTTGATTCTGATCAAAACTGGATTTTTTTATGAATTTTTAAACCTGTTCAAAATTTGGGCCAAAAATGAAGATGAGCAAAATTTCAATTTTTATATTTTTTTCTAATACATATACATGTTCTTATGCTGTATAGAAAGTTTGAGCTGATTTTAGATTTTTTACGAATTTTTAAAGCTGCTAAAAAATCAGGCCAAAGTCTGTGATAATAGCCTTTGCTTTTTTTCAAAAATTGGCTCATTTTAATTATGATTTGTTTTAAAGAAATGCCTACAATTATTCATTTTACTACAATTAATAGGTTCCCACAAACAGAATAATAGTCTGAGCAGTGATCAGATTCTCTCTCTTGTTGAATTCAGCCCACCATCTTCAATGCCTCAAGGAAACATTGGTACCTCCCTAAAAGTATTTCAAAATCTAATAAGAACCTGTCGGCTTCCTCCAAGTGTCATCAAAAAACTTAGACTCGTTTTCCCATCTCATTCAAAGCGATATGGTGCTGTGCCACTAGACTATGGCATTGCGAAAAAAGGAAAGTCTCTCTCAGATTTTAGAAAAGACGAACTGAAGCAACCAGCTGGTAGGAAAAAAAGGAAGTTGGAGGAAGAAGAGGATAGAGTGGAATTAGAGGAAGAAGATGAAGAAATTGAGCAAGAAAACGTATTCTATATACATCTCTCATTACAATATTCTCCATTTTTAATCATTTTATTCTCCATTATTTTTAAATAAAAATATTTATATATTAATTTAATTATTTTTTGTAGGAGAATGACGACTTTGGAGCTGAGGATTGGGAAAGATATGAAGCACTTCATGATGATGTTGACAAGCAGGTACAGCAACTTGCATGTATATGCTTTCATCGATGGTCAAGCTATGCTCAACCATTATCAAAGTCCTTGTACATACCTTTTAATATATGCACCTCCAAAAGTGCTTGTACATACCAGAATTAATGAGGATTAGTTTTTGTGTACTATAACTTGTGAATTGAGCAGAAATGCAGTCCTTGTACATACCTTTGTACATACCAGAATTAATGATGATTAGTTTGTGCTTGTGAAGTGAGCAGAAATGCAGCTTGCCTTTATAGTCCTGAATTTTATAATAGCTCTTCCTAAACCTCTTCCTTCCTAGGACAGAACATCAGAGAGACTTTTTGAGGATGAAATGGAAGTAACTTGGGACAAGGGAAGCAGTGGGCTAGTCTTCTATACTGATGCCAGTTACTGGCACCAGCAAGAAGGAGGTTAAAGGCTTGTATCATAATTAGGATTAGATTAATATGTTTTGCGCAGATTTTGATGAGCAATGTTCACAAGAGGATGACTGGGATGTTGATATGAGCTTATACTACGGATATGGTAAGAAGAAAATGAGTTTGAGTCATAGGACTTTCATTTCGTGGCTTCCTATGCCTTTGTTGATGAAATACCTTGTATTATAGTACAGGGTCTTTAGCAGCAACTTTAAAAGCTCGTAAAATATTTAATTTTGATCAGAATCAGCTCAAACTTTCTATGCAACATAAGTACTTGTATATGCATCAGAAAGTATTATAAAAATGGAGAATTCTCTACTTTTCATTTTTGGCAAAATTTGGTCCTCGACCCTGTACTATAGTACAGGGACTTTGGCCCGATTTTTGAGAAACTTCAAAAATTTGTAAAAAATGAATTTTGATTGGAATCAACTCAAACTTTCTACGCAACATAAGTACTTGTATATGCATCAAAAAATATTATAAAAATGAAGAATTTTCTACTTTTCATTTTTGGCTAAATTTGGTCCATGACCCTGTACTATAGTACAGGGACTTTGTCCCGATTTTTGAGAAACTTCAAAAATTTGTAAAAAATGAATTTTTGATTGGAATCTGTTCAAACTTGCTACGCAACTAATATCATAAATATATGTGTAGGTTTCAGAAAAATTATTAAAATGGAGAATTCTCATATTGCCATTTTTATGAAATTTGACTTTTTAATAAAATTCATAAAAAATCCAAGTTTTGTCAGAATCTGATTCAAGTTGATACACAACATAAGGTCACATATATGTATTTGAAAAAGTTCTTCCTTAGGTCAAAATCCTAAATTTAAAATCCTAATTTCTATGAAAAATTACTATTACACTAGTGGCATGTAGTCTTTTATTATAGCCTACTGTACTTCTTTCTATTATACCACAATTGACACTCTCAGCTCTAAGCTATTTTGAAGCTGCTCCTTTATCTGCCCATTCAAAAATTAAATTATAGTCTTATAACCTGTAGAGAGTGCAGATAAACCGGCTAGAGATATGAGGGACATGGAGATTGAGAAGAGGCTTAGAGCTGGTGAAGATTTGCAAGACATAGTAAAGAAAAAACCAACAGAAGTATAAAAATTTTTTATAATAATGCATTATAGCTCATTATGTTCTGCAATATAGAGTTTTGGTAGAAAAATAATGAAGGAGAAAGGTTGGAAAGAAGGCACTGGACTAGGTCCATCATCTTTAGGAATCTCAGAGCCAGTGGAAGCTGAAGGACAGAGCTCGCACTGTAAAACAGGACTGGGGTATGTTATTAAGCTCCAAGAATCTGGGCAATTTGAAGTGACATGTTTCAGGTATAGAGGTGAAAAATTAACATTAAAGCCACAGGCAAGAAAAAAGACAAGAGAAGTTTTAATTCCAACAATTTACGACGAGAAAGATGAAGAAAAGGATACTGTAATGAAACGCGGACCTCCGACTGTTTTAAAATATAGAGACAAATCATTTCCATCAAGATAAATAATTGATAAATAAATTATAATAATTATTACTATTATCATACACAGTTCATTGTTAAACATTCATGTACATTATCATTGTTTTTTAGTAAGACTTGCACATTGTGGCATGTTCATCCCAAGATTTTAACTATAAAAGAGAAATAAATTACCAAGTAATAGGGACATTAACTAAATCACTTAACTATGAAATTACCAAGTAGTATAAAACTAAATTACCTGACACTCTCTCCCACAATACCACTCTTTGTGGCAGCCAGAGCACAAGAAAGTAGCATCCCTTCCACAGGCAGTGCATATGCGATCACTCCTTGTTATTTCTTGCTCTCTTGGAGGATGCTGCAGTACAGCAGCAGTAGAGCTACTCACTGGTGAATGGCTAATACCAGTAGTCATTATATCAGAATGTGTTGGACGCCTTACAACTATGGAACCGGTTGCCATGTTCACAGCAGCATCTGGTGAATCTGCAATGAGGTAGGTCCTATTGTTTTTAATGATCTGTCTTGCTGTTGGCTTTATAAAGGAATAGTGCTGCTGTCCCTGGGGGTGCTTAGAGACTTGTTGATGTGGAGATGTCAGTGGAGAATATTGATGTCCTTGCTGCGTGTATTTAGCAGGAGCCTGCTGTTGAGTGCTTGGCTGCTTACTGAGGACAAAGTGATGGCCTTCAGTTGGTGTCTTTGAGTGAGGGGGAGCAGCAACATGTGACTGATGAGTTTTGTAATGATAAGACTCAATTTTCTGTAGAGAAGTTTGCTTATGAGTCACAGCTTCTTCTGGAGGTACAAACACACCTGAAGTCTGGATGTGATACATTGCTGCCTTATCTCTATGCATTTGCTGAGCTGATGGGCTCTTGCCATTACTACCAGTTGAAAACTGTTGCTGTGTATATGCAGGCGGTGGTGAGATCCTACGTGAAGGTGGTGGTGAGATCCTACGTGAAGGTGGTGGGAAAGGTGAAGTAGATGAAGTTGAAGGAGAAGAGGCTGCTCTTTGGTGTTGTGCTAGCAGAGAGACTCCAGCTTGATTCACCACTCTTTGTGGCTTGGGTCTTACAACTTTGCTTGATCTTGAGGTCTGTTGGACTGGGATGCCAGAATTATCAAGTACTTCAACATTAGGAGGAGGCATAGCAGGTCTAGACAAATGCTGCTCATATTTTTTACCATTTTCCTTAAACTGCTTGAGGGCAGAGTGGAAAAGGGTCATGAGGCTTTCTCCTGACATGCTCTCAAAGTCTCTCTTTCTCTTGCTCTTAATAGCTCCAAGTTGCCTAATCAAATCAGAGAGTGGTTCCTCCTTGTCAATTACTGCAACAGTAGTGGTCTGGATTTCTTTCTCTTTTCCTCTTTTATTATTCAGAGTCTTATTAGTACTATTGCTGCTGCTGATAGCACTGCTAGTCAAATCTTGTGCAGGTACCTGCGGCTGTGTTTGCTTCTGATGATGAGGTGAAGGACTAGTTGTACTAACTCCTAATGGACTGTATTTATTATAAACAGTCGTAGGAGACTCTTCTGATGGAGTCCTATGTTTTCTATACCTTCCTGCTTGCTGCACTCTGTAGGAAGGAGGACTTTTTAGTTGTAATGATGATCCCTGCTGCCTGCCACCTGATGGTAGTGCATTAACTACAGCATAAGGTTTTGTAGTATTGACTGTCGGCTGACTGCCTCCAGCATAGTGTGTGGCTTGTCTATCAGAATTATCTGGTATTTCAACTAGTGTGTAATAAGTCCCTGTAGCTGATGGGCCCTGCTGCTGTGCAGGCATAATAGTAGGATCATTATTGGCAGCTACAGCCACTACAGCAGTGTGAGCCCCTGGATTGGGAGGCTGGGTTAATACAGCAACTTTTGGCGAGTGAAGTGGTGGGTCTTTGCCACCACCAACATGAGATGTCATTTCAGGTTGAAAAGATGTAGCCTGGTCAGCTTGTACTAAAGTATAAACAGTTCCAACTTCACCAGTGGCTGTTATAGTAGTTGGTGTGACTACAACAGTTGCTGGTGATGTTGGTATGTTGCTATTAGTATAAGTGACATGCACTCCTGCTTGATTGCTAGGAAGGCTGTATATTGGAGTACTGCTGCTGTATGCAGGAGCAATGCTAACATATGTAGTACTGGGTGATGTAGATTGATGATGATTTGGTTGCCTGACAAGCTGAGAAGAGGAATCTGATGTCAATGAAACAGAGTTCTTGTAAAGCATGCGTAGCTTCTCATGAACTTTGGTAGTAGCTTCAGATACATACTAAAAATAATAATAGGTGTTAATACCAATAAAATTGAATTCTTAAAAATTTAATTAATTAATAAAGCAAACAATATAATTATACAAAAACATAGGACTGTAACACTTACATGCATTGGAGGTGCCAATGGCTTTCTTGACCTTGTGCTGGTTATAATATCTTTGCTGAAGGTTTTTTCAGCATTAGTCTTAGTAGTTTTCCCAGCATTGGCTGTAGGAGACTCTTTTCCATGCTGCTGCTGGACACTGACAACTGTACTATTATTATTCCTACTAGTTGATGCAGTAGATATTATCTTATCAGGATGCTTCTGAGATTGTATAGCAGTACTGCTGGGTCGATTGTTAACAGACTCCTCATTTAAGTGTGATAATGGAGTAGTTGCAGCTGGAGAAGAAGCTGAAGTTGTCACAGTCTTACTATTATTACTACCATGATAAGAATTCCTCCTGCCCCCATAAGTGTACACATTATTCCTATTTAGTTGTGCCTGGACCTGCATTTGTAACTGCTCAAGAGGAGAGGGTGTAGAAACTGGAGAGGGTGTATGAATGACAGAAGCTCGCTTGTGCTTTGAAGGCATTAGGCTAGTCACTCCAGGAACTATCTTGACAAGGGATCTATCAGGAGGAGGTACTGATGGAGTAGGTGTTTTCGTCTCAGCTGGGCTTTTATTCGTAACGACCGAGGTACTGTTAGTAGAGCTGGAAGAGCTCTTTCTTTTCCGACTTGAAGTAGTAGATTCATCATCAATGATAATGACATCTGGTTCAGGAGGTGAGCCCTGTACTGTTGGAACTGGCTCACTAGGAGATTTTTGATTATCAGGAGCTGCTGCTGCCTCTAGAGATGAACTGGAAGATGAAAGAACAAGGACATCTTCATTACTAGTTTTATCATTGGATGATGAATTTTGAGTCTCTTGATGATTAGAAGATTCTAAATCTACTAGAGGAGGGGGCACTGTACTATTAAGAGGAGGTGGACCAGCTTCACTGGTAGCAGGAGCATCTTTCTGTTGTTCTAAACTACTAGAACTGGTCACTACAGTGAGTGGAGATTCCGTGCTTTCTCCTCCTTCCTCAGTCTCGCTCTCCTCAACTTTTATCTGAAGCATTGGCTCTGGTGAAGACTCGGGAGCATCCAGAGCTGGTTCTTGCCAGGACGGCGGATTATTAGGAGGGCTCCTCTGGGTTGTAGATGAGACTGGGCTAGTGTCTATGCTAGGAGGCAAGGTAAGAGAGACTCTTAAACTCCGAGGCTTCTTCGCTGAAATTATAAGTGAGTCTGAATCACTCTCATCATCTTCTTCGTTATTATTTTCAACAGCGCTTGAAGAGTTACTTAAGATACCTTCTGAGGTCTGCTGCACTGCTATAGTGTAGCTCTCGACTGTCGTACGCCCATATTTAGAACTAGTCGCATCTTGTTGCGAAGTCTGTCTTTTACGAGATGCCCGATACGAATAAGTACCACTTCTTCCGGGACCAGATGTAGATTTGGCTAGTTTTCGTCTCAAAGCTTCAAGAGGTCTCACTTTACCACTATTGCGCCTGCTAGTCTCACTAAGCCTTGGACGACCAACCTACACATACAATGATCATGTGATATTATTTTAGATGCAAAAGAAAAAATAATTTTGATCAGACTTATAGTACAGGGTCTTTAATCACATTTTGCCAAAAATGACTAGCAGAAAATTCTCCATTATTATAATTCTTTTCCAATACATGTACATGCTGTTATGTTGTGTAGCAAGTTTGAGCTGATTCTCATAAAAATTGGATTTTTTTTTACAAATTTTAAAAGTTACTCCAAAATCAGGCCAAAGTCCCTGTACTATTATATATAGTAGAGGGTCACGAGCCTAATTTTGAAAATGACTAGGAGAGAATTCTTCATTTTAATAATTTATTCTGATACACATACATGTTCTTATGTTGAGTAGCAAGTCTGATCAAAATTGACAAGTAGCACATAGCATGCTTTGTGGTAACTCTCATTTCAATGCAATAAAATTTCCTGTAACATTGGCTAATGAAGCATTTGGCTAATGAGCTATTTCTTAAAAGTGTAATTCCAGGAATTAATGCTATTGCCTGGCAAAGCAAACTATATGACAGCCTAAAATTATAAAATTAAATACTACTCCTCTTACTTTTCTCTTTTTTGGTGGTGGTGGTGGTGCAGGTAATGCTGGCTGAGCTGCTGAGGTTGAACTAGTTGGTACATGCACCTCTTCCTCCTCCTGTCTCTCCACTTTGACTTTTACTGCTTGCGGGAGTATTCTTGTAGAGTCGGCATCTTCGTCCTCTTCAAAAAGACTTTGCATGACATCGATTGATTCTGTGAGATAAGGATTCTTCACCTGCTTGATACAATACATACAGTGCCATGGGCTATTGAGCTCCAGTGCTGATGCTGGTATAGGAGGATTATGACATTTCTGATGAAAACCTATGTATGTGTATGTGTTTGTGTGTGTAGAAAAAGTATTCAAAGCCCGGCTGAACAAGAGCAGGTGAATATTGATATATAAGGACCACCCTGTAATTTAAGTACATTCAAAAGGTGAAAGCACAAAGCTTATGATTATTCATTGTCATAACAAACTCCAAGTGGGGGCCTAATCATATTCACTAGGTGTCAAATTTGTTATCTAATGATCTGATGTGATAAGCTGTAGGTGACTCGCCCTACTCAGGCAGCAAGTCAGCCTAAAACTGCATGGATGCACATGCAGTAATATTTGCTATTATTGTAAAATTAAAACAATCTCGCAGCACTCAGATTCATCAATATAAGAACAATGGCACATTACCTATTCCACAAATGTCGCAAAGGACAATTTCGTTGGGATGCTCAGATTCGTCCTTTTTGCACTTGATGCAAATTATATCAGTTGTTGTTTCGTCGACTGTATCAGGAATTAAAGGAAAGGAAAAACGATAATTAATGTATTATAAAGAGTGCAGGAAAACATGGGGAAAGTCAATTTTCACTTACCAGAATGGATTTGGGAGAAAGAGGCCTCATCAGTGGAGCGGTCGTCAAAGATGACAACACATCTCCGCTTGGCGTGATCAATCTTCTTGATCTTGGCAAAGTAGACCATCCCGTCGTTCCACTTGACAAGAACGAGACTGCCCTTTTCGTGTGGAAAGGACTCGCCTCCTTCTCTGTCAGTATAATCACCGGCTGTAGCCATAGTAGACGAGTATAATCAGAACCGAGCGCTCCTACTGTCAGTAGATACACTGAGTCACTGACGCGACTTAGACGATTCCCACTAATATAAAGAGCCTCTCACAACTGAAGTCGTGGCCTCACAGAGCCCAACAAAAAACTGGGACCGTGGGACGTTACTGTTATGCCAATCAGGTTAAGAGTAGGAGGATCTTTCCCATACCATAATTACAAAGTCATTAGCACTTGTTATTATTTTCTGGTAGCGGAGAGAGGGCCAAGGAGTGTATGAATAACGTTACACTGTAATTACAGGCAGGCCTTATATATAACCCCGTGGGTGTGTGTATTATTGACGGGAGCTCAGAGGCTACAAATATCCTGGAAACCTTTCAAATAATCTTATTAATGATCAGTTGTATACTGTAGCAGCCATAGAGCTGCTCTGAGCCTGACCAATCAGAATGGTACACATCATCAACAAAGTGCACTGCTGTTATAACAACATACAAATTCATTGGAAAATGCAATATTTATTGGAAAAATATAGTAATAAGTGCATGACGTACACTACAGTGTTGTAGCACAAAGCTAGCTTCCAGAATAACAAATTCTCAAAGGAAGTGTTACATAAAATCTGTATATGATAAAAGCTATATGCAGCAATGTAAGCATTTCCTGAATTCCGACTGCATGTAGGTATTGCCAATTAATGCAGGAAACACTAATGATACTACAATAGCATAGTTACAACGCACAGCTGCACTTGTATACAAAAAATGATGACACACGAATAAGGAATTCACAAATAAAGTTGGAGCATTTAAATTGTACATTGAGGCAAATGTAAGTCAGGTGTATCAAAAATAAGAGAAGTTTTTGTAGGCAACGGAGTTCTGCTTGGTCTGCAAGAAAAACAATGTCAAATGTCACAGTATGTGGATTGTCTAGCTTACTTGAATAGAAGCTGAAACATGCCAGTACCCAGTGACATTGGCCTACCCATTATAATGCAGTCACTAACTCCTATATGAAAGTGTAAAATAATGCAAGAAAACTACAGTTCAGCATAGAAAGCATCAGATATATATACTAGTTATTACAGCTTGCCATCATGTAGCAAAGAAAGTAGATGTAGATCTACTGAGATTATGCAGTGTGGCATGATTTATGAAATTGGCTACACAATTCATAGATTGTAAAGTTGTGGATGATCGAAACACTGAAAATAGCTTCAAAATAGCTATATGTACTATGAAGGCAAATATAGCATAGCAAAGCTAGTTTGAAATTGGCTGCACGTAGCATGAAAGCTGCATTCAGAATATACTACTGAATAGTAGCATCATTCATTAAAGTTGGCTGGCAAGTAAACAATGTCTATGCTGCTGTGGTTTGATTACTAGCCAACAATTATTACTACTACTACACTACAGTCTAGAAATATCTCATTATTATGATCAACCAACCATTGACTACATCAGACTGTCCATGAAAAGCAGCATCAAACAGGTGGTCACTAGTTTTTTCAAACTATAAAGGAAAAGAGAGAGTGCAATAAAGTGATGAACTCATCATGGGCGATTAATCATTACCGAAGCTAACATTAGGACACTCTCTTTCATCTTGGCCAAACCAAAACGAGTAATTCCAAGAACTTCTCCCTAATAAGGAGTGGGAGAGATAGTAGTTATTGCTGATGTCTATACAAATCATACACATACTTTGAATGTCATCAAATCAGCAAGTAGCATAATGTGTCTTGCATCAATGTTCATGCCATGGTTAACCATAGTATAAGCAATCTCATTCATTATTGTTTGCCTGCAAAAATAAGAATAACACTCCATCACACACAAACCACAGTTTTGACAGCTGTGTCACTACATTGCTTTTATTATCCATGTGTCAATGACTCACTGGAGCCAGACTGTCTACCAAGCCCATTAATGATCCAATTATAGAATTATTATGAACACCAACAAAATTAGTCTATGGCCTCTCATTGTTGCTAAGGTGTGTGTCAACTAGCTAGATAATAAGAGACCTAATTAAGGCTGCATCACTACAACTGCACTCTGAGGTGTGATAATATATTAATGAGTCACACAGAGAGAGAGCCAACACTGATGTGATTCTCATCATGTACAAAAGTACTTCATAGAACCACATGCCTTGCTGCTTCAATCCCAAGTGTCTTTTCAACTTCAATCGTGTGATTTGACGTAGTAGAGTTCCCTTTCACACCATGCGTTGCCATAACAGCTCTAAGATTGAGACCCTCAACAAGGAGCTTGTATTTAGTCTTCCCATTGCTTTCATCCTGATGGATAATAGCACGAGAGACTGAATTAATGCCCTATAAAGAGAATAAAGGGATCACACCCTATTGACATATCAAACAGCTAATCAAGGGCTTTTGTGTGCCCACTATTTGACCTGTTTGTAGTCATAACTACTGTATAAGGTTAGACTGACACTAATACCAGTATTGTATTCTTTAATGACACTATTGGGTATGCCCCCTTAATTATGACAATAGACTAAATCATGCATTTAAAAACATTGGAGCTGAGAATAAATGCTTAAGTACACAACCAGTGTTGATGAAACTTCATCCTCCAGTATACCTTGATAACAACACGAGGCAAGGCGAACTTAAGTTTCTGCATCATATAGTACTCGGATGTTTTTTCAGTCTCTGGGGGATATATGAATAAGGTCCATTTGTCCCTGATGGATATGTGCTATTTAAAAGATAAACAATGGCTTAATGGATTAGTTATTGTTATGTAGTTGACTCTTTGCCAATAGCAGTTGTTTGTGAAGACTTACGGTTGGCTTCAGTTTCAGCTTGGGAGCGTTTAGTATGGAGTTCTGTACTATGTCAGCATTTATTTCCAACTACAAACAAAAGACAGGTGGTGTGTTAACAAGACAATCAAGATACAACAATAATCTCATTAGACACACCACAGCAATGCCAGTGAAGCTACACAAATGAATAATTGTGGTTTTGTGGTCAGAGTACACCTGTTGGAATCAGATTTCTACAGCATAAGGGCTAGGAAAACTATTATGCTTCAATTTTTGCCTATTATGCTTTTAGGCACTGCCCCCAATTCCATCCTATTATGCTTTGAAATGAATCCAATTATGCTCATTATATTAAGCACATAGTTTAAGCTTTACTCAAATATCAACTATCAAGTTACAAGCACATGAGTCTGTTATAATAATGCCAGAATCTTAAAATGTTTCCAGTGAATAGTTTAAGTCATTGGACCCGCCACGCTTGCATAGGTGGGCACTAAGCAATTTAACTGAAGTTTGGTTGCTGTACTTGTACTTGTACCACCTGCCATATTGAATTGAAATCATGTGGTCAGTGGTATAGAGCCGGAAAATTTTGACCCATTATGCTCCAATTATGCTACATGTAGCATTATAACTTGCCCTATTTCGCTCCAATCATTTGCCCTATTTCGCTCCAATCATGCTAGCATAATTTTCCTAGCAATACAGTAGTGCAGCTTTGAATGAATTTAAAAACCAACTATTGTGTTCATGAATTTTCACAAAAAGACTAAAAAGCAACTATTTGCAAATAATGTCTAGCTAAAATCTATCAACTACGTTATCTGAATAATACAATAGATCTGTAAAAAGCATACTTTCTATACTGACCAAGAAACTATAGTCATTATCACATTACATCATCAAAGCAATACTGCAAAGCTCTAAAAATACACCAAAACTACATTATGTGTGCATAATATGCAGCAATATAAGTGAAACTTTGAAGACCTTGAGTAAACGTATTCGTCTTTTATCCAATTTAATGCACAGAAAACAACCATCAACTTCATAAGCTTCTTCGATGTAACGTGACACCTATATCAACAAATGAAAGAAATATTCGACACTATACATACAGTCACACTGGAATGAAAACACAATCACACCTACATACACAATAATTATTTATTGCATAAGATTATACCACAAGACTGCGATAACGATCACCAAAGACCACACAAACACAGCAATTAGATACTACATTGCACAAGATGTTTGGAATTTTAATTCCTTGCATAATTACATGCATAGTTACAATTCAAAATCATACTCAAATATCAATTTTAAGCTTTAATCAATAAGAAGCACTCCCAATGGCGCCTATTTGACAGCACTTTGTGGAGGCATAGTCTCAAACAGCAAAAGGTATTGACAGCATGTAGAAATGCTGTTTGCAATGCAGGACAAACAAGTCTCACTTCTCCTAATAAGGTTTTCTCTATTCGTCCTTTGACAAGTCGTGCAGCTTCTGGATCATCTTCAATCACTAGACTGGTGCTGATGATTGGAGTGCTGATTGTCTTTGCGGCGTTGATGATTTCTTTGATTCTCGGAACGCCCAGAGTGATATGTGAGAATGGGAGTTAAAGAAATCTCAAATTAAACACGTATGGTCAAGTGATACTGCCATAAAAGCCTGCTATAATGTCCAATGGACTATTTATATTACAGAGTAACATCATATATAACAGATTCCAGGATCAAATTTAAGGATACAATACACATCAGTAGTATACTAGTAGTATTTGTGACAGACAAACATATGATGCCTATTATATCACAACCATGCATGTTCTGGTATGACCTATCCTGTTTTCCCATGCATGTATGTATATGTACAGGGAGTGACTATAACTATAATTGGGTAGTGTATAGAGATAGGTAGCTAAAGATAGCTTGTCTGGGGTGTATCCTTAATGATGCATGCATTGCCATAAAAACTAAATGGCATATCATATAAATACACCAAAGGGCACCCCACCTTCAACTCATAGTAATTAAACCTATAACTCTATTCACTAAAGGATATTCATAGAAGCAACTCCTGCAAAATGAAATGTCTTTAGTGTCATCTGTGTCCCTGGCTCTCCAATACTCTGAGCACAGATTGCACCCACTGCAGAACCTGTATGGACATATACAATAGAGAAAAATTAATGGCATTGATCACTGTACGCATATGAGATTAGTTTAATCTAATTGATGATAATCCAAAGTCACATGATGCTTGCCTGTGTTGTTAAACTTAGGGTCAGTTTATACTGGAGGTTGGATAGCTAGTGTGCATTTGACTATATATGGTAGTGTGTAATCAAATCAATCACAGATACACCTTTGACAATTAGAAGCCTGCTTTGGAGGTCACATACAAATCATGTCAGTATAGCTGGAAGGAATTTCATATGCACCAGAAAGGATGTTATTGTCAATACATTATCTAACAAAGCAGGCTTGGACTCAATTAAATACTACAGCCAAGCAAATCCTAGTTATATATAAACACAGAATTAAGTGTCATAATCAAACAACTGAAGCCATTAACTGCAGGCAGTAAAAGGTTCATCCATCCATGTGGGTATATATATATACCTGGCTCTATCCTTGACTTTAGAAACTTGTCAATGCATGTATCAACAAATGTCCAAAACTGAGTAGAAGTGATTCTCCCCAACTGGTACAAAACTATATGAACATGATTATAACATAAACAAAAAGGCAAGTTGCATCTGCAAATGTGTACACACATCATGTAACAAGGTAATTAATGTGTTGTAAATATCTAAATTCTTTTAAGGCAAAAATAACAATCATGAGAAAGAGAGACAGAGAGAGGAGGTGGGTCAGGGCAATCATATTCATGACCATTTGGAACTAGAACGTTATGCTAGGAATGAGGCGACAATATTCACGATGTGATAAGAGTAACAAAACCTGAACAATAACACAACTCTACTCTACAAACTTCCCACATTTCTTAGAATAACATCATAGATAAGATATCACATGATGTACATATCAATAGGCAGGCAGAGCTCGCCCCTTGTTGTGTTAGTAGTGTGTTTATGAATACAGGTAAAGGTGATTGTAGTGTTACCAGGTGAGATATAAGTGATATCACTATTGTCACTGTTTTCACTAAAAACAAAAACATTTTCGATAAACTTTATTAAAGGAATATGATATATATATATTGTACCTAGTGGTGTCGGTAATATTGAAGAATGACCACAAACCTTGCAGCTTTGAAATCTTCTTGGCTAAAAAATCTCTAAGAAATGAGAGAAAAGGCTATATGATGCTATTATAATGCAAAAAGCTGCAATCATGAATCAAAACATGCTATTAGCAGAGAACAAACTTTAATTCAGTTTTAAAAGTGTCATTGCACAAATGGAATCTCTTGTAGTCACAAAACTGATCGAAAAGCTTTTGAAAACCAAGCGGGGACAATGCTGGCTCAGATTTACAAGGAAACTTCATCTAAACACAAAGCAAGAGAGAAGCATGATAAATATGAGACAGCTACAGCATAACTGACTGTAACGTGATGCAAAACATGAGTGAAATCCACAGGTTTGTCCTTTCCTTCCATTGCAGCAGGGTCTAGTCCATCCCCACCGTAAATAAACTGGACTATATGACCATCAGAATCCCTCACTGTGTTATCATAATGACAACAAAGGTCTTCCAATGACTGGAAATGGGGATATAATTGAAAACACTTATTACAAAATTACACTGTTTGTCCGCTTCATCAACCTTAAAATTATTTCCATGTTTATAGTGAAACAATCAATAATATACCAATATATAAACAAAACAAACTGCCTTCCGTTGGAGAGTAAAGATCAAAGAGATTATGACAAATTACTCACCATAATTATTATATAACTACATTTTTGGGAAATGTAATTAAGATTATATAACAAATAAAAAGGATTTAAAGAGCATGCATTTTAAGCTGCATATAAGCAGTAATTATATTTTGCTATAGTGCAGGCAAGCACAACTTAATGATACTGCTTTAGAAAGACTCAAGTCGAAAGCTAGGCTTCAGGGTTTTGTGTATTGCTGGGACTAAAAGCTGCAACAACTGTTAAAACCATGTATACACATTAGAGGCACAATCAGCCCATCTTGTTTTCCATTTAATAGATGCTGTTTAATGCGCATCAGTGTATATGTTGTCATTATGCTAAGTAAACAACCGCCGAGTTTACTTTTACTTTTCTAATCGCATGATTCTCATTTTTGTTTACGTTGAGTTGCTTGAATATACATGGGACTTTAAAGAATAAAATCATTCCATTAGAAGTTTGTAAGCCAATTATATAAGATGGACATGCAAGTATATACTTATATGAGCTAAAAATACTGCAACAGAAGAAATTCATTCATTGTATAAGACATATTGATGAACAAAAGTAATATCTGATGCCAACATGTAGTAGAGTGGCCAGCCACTATGACTAGACGTGTAACCATAGTAAAGAGGACATCACAGTAGCCACGTAGTAAAGTAGAGAGTAAATATAAATTTATAGGCTATAGATACATAAACAAACAAGCACATGTATGTATTGACAATGCACATGTATGTCTTGATTCCTCATTCATGATGTAGATCAAATGAAGAGGTATTTTACCTTTACTAGTCGTCTCTGCATGTAACCAGTTTCAGCAGTTTTAACTGCAGTGTCTACAAGACCTGATGGATCTATAATAAAAATATAATAATGCATTAATGAATACCTTCTCTGCCACCCATAGTGTGGAAGAAGAATTCTGTAGGGACAAGGCCTGTGTAGAAACTATTCTTCACAAAGCCTTTTGCTGCGGGTGCTTTAGCTTAATTATTATTTTAAAAAGAAGAGGGTAAGTGGGAATTTAAAATGAAAAAAGGGCCTACAATTTCTTGGAAAGTGTGGAAGGGTGCGATCTTCGAAACCATCAGGCGTCCTTTTCCCAGATATAGCCTGCTGCCCAACACAAGCAATCATTTGTGATATATTAATGAATGATCCTTTAGATCCACAGAGTGCCATGTTTAAAGGAGTGTTGGTCGGATGGAGCTCGGTCTTACAAACTTTGCCAGAGTCCTCTCGAATCTTTGACAACTCGTGAACAATTTTCGCCTGCAAGTACATGTACAGTAGATAATGCTTTAAAAGGATTCTTTTTCAAGTCGAGCTATACCTCTAGAGTCTCATCTGCAGTGCAGCCTGGTTGGGTCTGAAGTTTCTTGTCCAAAAAACTTTGAATGAATTGGTCACAATTAGCATAACTACATGCATGGACACAAAAATTAACCAACAGATAGAACATATAGCGATGTACATGTACATGCATATACCATTACTATACCAATCATTCACATTTCAGTATCATGAAAGCTGCAGTAATTACATATGATGACATAACTTGCTCATAAAATCAACCTTCATTGAAAATGCATGTATGCATGTACATGTACATGTACATGCATGAAAGGAATTTCTTCCCAACACACTAGCTCTCTTTACCCTTCTTCCACTAGTTTGTTCTTTGCATTCACCAGGCCACGTCCTGGGGTAACATCACCAATACCAATGGAGAAACCTCTGTTACCTGTAAAATAACTCAACATAAAATATCGAGGCTTGAACCAAAAAGAATTAAATAGAAGAGAGAGTGAGAGAGTAACACCTCAAAACAAATTAAAAACTTAACGAGATTCTTCAGAGTAAACAAATCAGGACTAATTAAAACTCTGCCAATAGATGAATTGGCAAGCAGTGAATGAAAATTCAATAATAAAAATCAGATACAAGCACATGCAGTAGAGACTACACATGTATACACAATTAGAGACAGAACCAGAGCCCATCCCATACTGAGGTAATATGGAGTGAGTCGTGCCAGTCTTGACATGCAGTCTGCAGCTTCCTACAAAAAATAAAATAGCTTTTAAAATAATTATGCTCACTTGCTCCCCATAATCTCTTAAGAGGACAAAGAAGATGCTGTTCTTTGAGCCTGAGCCTAAGGTGGCCTTGTCTAGACTACCACACAAGTGTGAGCTATTGTGTATAACAACAACTATAAAATTAGGAGAGGGGGAGGGGGAGAGAGAGAGAGAGAGAGAGAGAGAGAAATAAAATTAAAAATAAGAGAAGTAGACAATAAATAAAAGAATATAGGACATTAAATCTTAATGTGGTCTCACAAGAATCGTTGGAGCACATGTCTTCTCCTTTAGTGTACTGCTTCCCCTTAGCCCTCAGGTTTATTATAACATTCGACTTCTTGTTGGGAGAAATGAGGACACTCATGACCTGCTTTCCAGTCCACAGTTTAACAGGCTGGAAGGAAAAAAAATAGTCGTCGAATCCGGCAGTCATAAAAAATAATGATGTTGATTAATTTGATGTACAAAGCAATGTATTTAGAAAATACATGTTGTATGCAAACGGTGACATTATTCTTGGCAAAACTTCAATTATAAAAAAAACATACACATGATGACAGTCAATCCAAAACAAAATACTTAAAAATGCTTTGGGTGTAGGGCAAATTGGCATTCTGCATTAGCAGGGATGTTACTGGAGCCAATTCATGAAGTACATGTACATGTACATGTGTATGTACAAATTGGCTATTTTCATACTGTATGCTTGTAAGGTATTTATGCCAAAATGAAATATACTATTAATGGAAGGTATTTTTTAAAAGCCAAATGCATGCTTCTTTTCAAAAAAACCTGCTTATTTTACCAGGTACTAATAACTAAATAGAAAGTGGTCAGAATTAAATGAATCTTCAAGATGTCATAGTTACTATAAAGGGGATTAGAAATGCAACAAAGTATACCCTATTTTTGCATTTCTCATTATAAACACAAACTAAATGAGGACCTACTTTAATGATAGCTGGAGGTGGTATGTCTATCTTAATATTAGAATCGTGATTACTGAGCATTGCAGATACAATCTGAAAGAATTGAGCTCTGTCAAAGAAAACATCTTTTTGTGTCAGGAGAAAACTTGCTAGAAAAATAATATGAGGATTTAAATGACTTTCAGAAAGGAGTCAAACCTGATATAAAATCCTGAATAGCAGCAATCAGCGGCTCACCATTTCGAGGAGTAACAAGATTTGATTTGACCTGAAATAAAAAGAGAGTAAAGGACACAAATACATGTTCTTATGTTGTGTAGAAAGTTTGAGCTGATTCCAATCAAAATTGAAATTTTTGTGAAAATAAAGTTACTTCAAAATCGGGCCAAAGACCCTGTACTATAGTACAGGTCTTTGGCCAAATTTCGTCAAAAATGACAAGGTGAGAATTTTCCATTTAAAAATTTTTCTGAAACATATACATGTTCTTATGCCATGTATAATGTTTGAGCTGATTCCGATCAAATTTGAATTTTTTACGAATTCTTAAAGTTGCTCCAAAATCAGACCAAAGTCCCTGTACTATAGTACAGGGTCTTTGGCCAAATTTTGTCAAAAATGACAAGGTGAGAATTTTCCATTTAAAATTTTTTTTCTGATGCATATACATGTTCTTATGTTGCATAGAAAGTTTGAGCTGATTCCGATCAAATTTGAATTTTTTAATGAATTCTCAAAGTTGCTCCAATATCAGATCAAAGTCCCTGTACTATAGTACAGGGTCTTTGGCCAAATTTTGTTAAAAATGACAAGGTGAGAATTTTCCATTAAAAAAATTTTTTCTGATGCATATACATGTTCTTATGTTGCGTAGAAAGCTTGAGCTGATTCTGATCAAATTTGAATTTTTCATGAATTCTTAAAGTTGCTCCAAAAGCCATGTACTGCATTGTAGTGCTTTTCAGCTACACTTAAGTTCATTTAGCATATGCTTCGAGTAAACTTTTGCAAAAAAAAGGGGAAGTGTAGCAAGAATCCCTTTCAATTTTAATAACAAATATATTACAAATATTTAATAACTCAATATCTTACTCCCATTAGTACGAGAGCCTCAGCTTTAGCTTCTTCAGTTTGAGGCAAGTGAAGGTTCATCTCATCTCCATCGAAGTCAGCATTATATGGCGTACACACACACTCATTGAATCTGAAGGTTCTATGGGGCATAACCTTCACCTAATAAAAGAAATGAGGGAGAGAAAAGGAGGAGGAGTGAAAGAAAAAGTAAAAATATACATAATATAATTATTTTTTTCTTTATCTTACAAAATGTGCCATAATACTCAGTTTATGAAGCGAAGGTTGTCGATTAAATAAGACGACATCGCCATCAATCATGTGGCGCTCCACGATGTCGCCATGCTAAAAAACGTAAAATTATTCTAAAATATTTTTTTAATATGAAAACCTTCAACTCTGATGCAATTTTCTTCCTATCCCCGTACTTCAAAAACCTAAACAAAATTCATGTAAATATACATTTATAGATGTACAGGTACTGTAGCTGGAAAATTGATAAATTTTTGGCGAGTGAGACAGGTTTTAATTTTTGGCCAAGTGCCATTGAGCATGCAAGTTAAGGTTCAAAATGGTAAATTTTATTTTGGCGAAACGCCAAGTTTGCCACAAAAATTTCTCCTTTCAAAATTGAGGACTACATGTCTTCACTCTCAAACTGCCTTTTCCTAAAATAAAGTCGTGTCAATACCTTTTATTTTGTCCCTTGTGTGTCATGAAATTGGCTCCAGGATGTTTATCAGGACCGTTGATCACCAGCTGTCTCATCAGTCCAATGTTGTGTTTGGTAACCTAGGGAACATGAACATGGGAATTACATACCCACAATATGATTAGTGCCCAGCTCCAGTGTATACAGGATAAAGCCAGCTGCAATGACTTGTCATAATTGTTTATTAAGGCTTAAAGTCCCATTGGAACCACAGTACAGCCTCTTTCCAGTGGTGCATTAAAAGCATTAAAATGAAAAAATTATTTCGGATAGAATTTTTCTTTCGAGAAAAAAGAAATTATCCACATTGAGTATGTGAAAAATTGAAAAAAATTAGGCGCTGATCTCATAATTTTCCAAATCATCCCAAATTCATTCTAACCTTTTCTGGATACGTCATTATCTTTGCAACGTGAATGGGAACAGCAACTTGATCGATCCTCATATTTGGATCAGGAGAGATGACAGTACGGCCCGAGAAATCGACACGCTTCCCGGAGAGATTACCACGAAAACGTCCCTGCTTGCCCTTCAACCTCTGAACAAAGCCCCTAGTTGTCTTCTTTGGCTGTTAAGAAATTAAAATAAAACATTAGGAAATGCTTTCAGTGCAAAAGTAAGAGTATTAATGGATTAGACATTACTTAATGCATTACACATTACTCAATGCTTAAACAGTACTTAAACAAATTTACTATTTAATACATTCACTGCATTAAACAGTAGATGATGTCACACATAGGCTGATAACATTATTATAGTTATACAAATATCCATTAACATCCCATTAGCTGTGGTTAGGAACAATCCACCCAAGCCTATTACCACAAGAAGCAGCTCCAAACCTCATATTATTGCAAGACTGCATTAAAACACACTGTACACTACACATGTATTAAGTTTAATATTCATGTACCAATTTGATCCTTCCTCTAACAGTGCATATGTGTGAATAGTATATTTTATATATATATATATATACACACACACCAGTTGTCAATTCATTAGTAGTACATGTTACTATTGTAGTGACTGCTCAGGCAGTGTTGGCAAGCCAAGAGAGCCTCAATTGGACAGAGGGTTAGCTACTATAAAGCAATGGACACTGCCAAGATTAAGAGGAAACACAACAGGTAGTGTGTGTTTTAATGGCTTCATGAAAAGGAAAGTTTACACCATCTTAATGATCATGAGTATAATTAGGAATATGTACACTTGTATAGGAACAAAGGGAGAGAGAGAAGAAAGAAAGGAGAGAGAGAGAAGTATAAGGGAAAAGGTAGTTTTTAAAAATTAAAGCCAAATAAATACATGTATCCAATAAAAAATATCAATGTAGTACGTGTGCATATGTAAATTCAAAAATTAGAGCAAGTACTTTATAGCTGAGTTTGTTGCTGGTAAGACAATTTGGCAAAATTGACTACATCATTGATAGGTTGGCAGGTTAAATTTGATGATTTCATTATTTCAACAATAGTATTAGTTAATAGCAAAATGATTAAACTTACTATCATTGAAGGCGGGATGCCAGACACTTCACTGTTAATATAGAGAGCAACTTGCAACTGAAGATAATCCCACATCTCCTAATATATAATGTGTACATGCAATAAATATATTAATAAAATAAAATACTAGTGTAAGTATAACTAGTAAAAGTATCATTACATTAACTACATGTATGAATTAAAATGATGGATTAAAATATGAAAATCATTAATATACATGTACATGTACACGTACATGCATATTACAATGTAATTGATGTGGTAATAAAAGGAAGTAATATTGATTATTAATTATTCATTAGCCTATCACTTTAAATGCAGCATAATTAATACTAATAATGATGACATAATACATTTGACTTTGAACTGCTGAATAAGAATGAACTAACTAGTATCATTTCAACTTTAGCTCCAGTAGTCCGATGACGATGAATGACGTCGTTAGCAAAAATAATATCCCTCAACTTAATAGTAACGTCATCTTCGGTACTGGAGGAGAGAGGGGGGGGGAAAGGGAAGAATCTCATTATTATTGTAAAGGAAAGATACAATGTACAAAAAGTGTGAGTGAAAATCTAAGTTCCTGCAGAGCATAAGGACATCAATATGCATCAGAAAATGTAATAGAAATTGGGGGCGATTTTGGAGCCATTTTCTGGAAAAGACCATGGGCTATAAAATAAAATCCACGACAAGCAAAAACCCATTTTGTTTCATTGACACAAAATCTGTAACAAGGAAAAACCCATTGGTTCCATTGTCACGAAATCCATGACAATCAAAAACCTATTAGTTCCATTGTCATGAAATTTGTGACAAGCAAAAACATATTAGTTCCATTGTCACAAAATCCATGACAAGCAAAAACCCATTAGTTCCATTGTCACGAAATCCATGACATGCAAAAACCCATTTGTTCTATTGTCATGAAATTCGTGACAAGCAAAAACCCATTAGTTCCATTGTCACAAAATCCGTGACAGTCAAAAACCCTTTTTTGTTTAATTGTCACGAAATCTGTGACAGGCGAAAACCCATTTATTTCTCAAAAATTGGTTTCTGCATAAAATGACCATAACTAAAAAATATGCAAATTAAATTAAGTGAGAATAAGCATTGAATACAGTTCATGCATGTACATGTACATAATACTAATAATACTTACGTTCCAGCTTGAGTATCTGATACAACAGAGGGTCTAATGCAAAGTGGCGGGACAAGTAAACGAGTTACTATTAGATCCTCGGGTCTACCAGCTGCCAGTGTCATACCAAGGAGTACAATATCCTACAAATAAAATCAAATAAAAATTAAATAAAATAATTTTAAAACTGCATTACCTCGTCGGGAATATTACGAAATAAATTCAATACTTTTAGCGGGGTCAGTATCTCCTATAAATGAATTGATATTTGCTACTGGAGTCATAAAAACGAGAGGGCCCACCTGTGCTTTATTCAAGTACTGCTCAAGGTCCCTGTTGTGAATGACAGCTTCAGCGAAAGTCTCTCGAAAGGCGCTACTCTCTGATTGGAATTTCTTTTCTTTTCTTATCTTTTCGTGTAATATCTTAAAAACTCCACATTTCTTGACCGAGCCTAACATCCAACAAAAAGCATAAAAATACTGCTCTGAGAAAAATAATTACCATAGGACGCCTTTTTTCGAGGGCTGCAAATTTTGCAAAATTGCCTAAAAATCTATTTTGCGGATTTAATTTTCGCAAATCTATGTCGTCTGCCATCTTTTACTGTATCAATTTGATTTTTTGCAGAAGTAATTGTCGTGAATCTTCAAAAAATTGCAAAATCCGTGAAATTTACAGCCCTAATAAAAGGTGCCCTAAGGTAATCGTAAGTTGTAGAAAGGCACAGTTGCTACCATTTGTAGATTGGCAGTGTGGACATGTTGATATTTTCTTGCATTTCTCGTTGATTTTCTTGAAAATGGTTTTCTTTGCAAGGGAAGAGATGAAAGGTCGAGAGAGTAAATCAAAATAAGACTGTCTGTCGGTTCCAGTCACTAACACTCTGCTGCAGGTCTGAAAAAAGAAAGATTAATAATAATCACAACACTAAATAATACCTATTATGCATCAAGTACTTTACTGCTTTCTTTTCAAATACATGTACATGTACATACATGTAGTTAATTTGGTCAAATTTTGCCAAAAATGACTAGAAGAGAGTTCTCCATTTTTATAATTGTTTCTGATACATATACATGTTCTTATGTTGTGTAGCAAGTTTGAGCTGATTCCGATCAAAATCAGACTTTTTTACAAATTTTTAAAATTACTCAAAAATCGAGCCAAAGTCCCTGTACTATAGTACAGGGTCACAGGCCAAATTTCACCAAAAATGACTAGGAAAGAATTCTCCATTTTTATAATTTTTTCTGATGCATATACATGTTCTTATGTTGCACCAAAATTTTAAGCAGATTCCAATCAAATTTGGATTTTTTATAAATTTTTAAAGTTGCTCAAAGCAATGAGTGCTTGTCACAATTAAGCTGTCAGCTCATGATTTCATGAAACATGCTTTTAGCTCACTTAGTATGCTTTGGGGGGAAACCCTGCATGCACATATACTGTAAGCCCAAATAATTTGACGACCTTTATGTTTAACGTTTTTGCAATGGTGGATACATGTATATTAATGCCCATTAATTTCAACAATTTTTACAACTAAGGTAACCACCTGCTTCACGACCATCAACATAAACAAGATTAAGCCAAAAAGGTTAAAATAGTTAAAATTTATTATTAATGGGTTTACAGTAAGTATATACAATAATGCTATGAAAGGACTCACTTACTTTACAAATAACTTGAAGGATTGAGATTGTATTACGAAAATAACCGACATGAAACACAGGGAGTTGAAGGTCAATGTAACCATAGTGACCGACACAGTCGCTCAGCGATTTATCACAAGTCTTACAGACTGAGTCTTTTTGATTAGTACCCTTTAAAATAATAATAATAATAATAATAATAAATTAATTGTTAAATATAAAATTAATAATAATAATAATAATAATCAATAAAATTAAATATAAAATTAATAATAATAATAATAATAATAATAATAATAATAATAATAATAATACTAAATGTTGTACACATACATTAGTAAAAGAATACTCATAATATAAAAATAATTA